TATTATTTTAATAGCTAATAAAAGTTGAGCTATAAATACATGTTTATATTATTACTCTATAATAAACAAAAATATATCAGATACTCTATAAAGTTTGGGATGGATTTTTTCGCGAATGCTTGAGAGGTGCTCTCTCTTTCTATCAACGTACAAAATTTGAGGCAAATCTGCGACCCGAACGTCTGATCTTTCTCTTAGTTACTGGTGATTTCTCGAAGAGACAAAATCGTGACAGATACCGCTGATGATCGGGCACGACCGTCTTTCACAATGGGCGCATCCCGATCATCGGCTGTGTCAGCTGTGTCAGCTTGCGCTCGACGTGACGTGATTGCCCCCGTTTTTGGGACGAAGATTAATCTTCGAGATTTCACTCAAATTAATTATTGGAAATCCGCGATTCAGTTCGCCTTTCGCAGATCGATCAATTCGATTGAAAGGAGACCGGTTCGGAAAAAATCCTAAGGTGTTGAACATCTCCACGCGCTCACAGCCTCTGGCATTCAGGGCGCGAGACCACTGGGCCGGTTCATCCGATTCTTTAATTTCTTAAATATATCCGGTGTTCCCTGCTTTTTTTTCTCTGTTTGACATTATTTTTTCTCTTATGTCCAAAAGTAGGTTACATAAAGACATTTAAATGCTTTATGATGTAAATTCTCTATTTGTTTAAGTAGAAATAATATTCTATAATATAGGTAATGCACTACGGACTGAACAAAACATTGGTTTTCGCTTTCCGGTTGTCGCTCAGCAGTATAAATGCTACTGTAACTTTACCGTATTGAATAGACAATAATCTTTAACGTTAAACACGAAAGACTCTAAAACTATTCGAATGGAACTCGCGTTACATTTGTTCTTTTATCGTTTCAACTTTTTTTTCGACTCAATCATCCGCGCATTGTGTTTTGTTATACGCGTACATTACAAAACATATTGTATATTTTGTAACATATTTATTTATTTAAACAAGTCTATTTGACATAGAAATGGAAATTCTAGTCCGACGTTAACGTATTCGTATTATCCTTTTGGTGTGACGTTAGGTTCTCTATATCCTGTTACGAACTAACTATCCATTATGAGAAACTAGCTCAGCCACAGACAGGGAAGATCTCGGTCGTAATAATCGAAATGCCGTGTGATGCTTGTGGACTGTTCGCCAACTGTCATCACTAAGATAGTGTTGCATCGTATCGAATTGCGGTATTCGACTAGTTCCAGCTTTTACAGATCTTGTATGTAACGCGAAGAGATAGGAATACCAGAAAAACAACAACCTGAACCTTTACAGTGCAATTGCAATACTAAGAATAATTGATTGCAAACTTGGAATGGAAATACGCTACGGTTTTCTACATTGCTTACTTTTCTATCTCGCGGTACAGTCTTATAATTCCGTTAAGAAATTCGTTCTCTTGAAAGATCTCATTTCTTGAGACGGTTTATGTACAAGACGCACGCGCACATAACTCAGCCTATTTACTTCGCAAGATAACACACAAAATAACACTGTGACCGAAAACGAAACAAAGTGGATAAAGTTGGCTATGCGCGTACACCGACGGACACTTTGAAATACTTCCGTGTCGTATTCTCAATGTTTCTCGGTCGTTTCTCTCGCGTTAATGACGCCTATTTCGAGTGTATGTACAACGTGACGATAAAAGTAAAATTAAGATCGTTTCGCTTTGTTCTGGCAGCGTTGAAATTTCGCGTTATCGATTGTTTGCGCTTTAATCGCGCTTTCGCAAACGCTAACAGAGAACTGCATTCTATCACGTTGCAGGTCACAGATCGGTGTGTCTGCTTTGTTTTTTCGGCGATGTTTACCGGTTTATTTCCCCAGTGACATTTCGATATTTTTCATTTTATGACTCCGTTGTTTGTCACGACGATCCTGCAAAGGCAACAATTTGCGATACACACACGCGCACACAATCGAGAAAACTGGTGCTCGTATACAGCTGTTTTCAATTCCTTTGATCGTGTCGAAGATACTTCGCTATTTATGACACGCGGCAAAAGAGAACGGTACCGTATGTTCAAAAGTATACTTTTTATTCCTTAGAGAACAATTTAGCAAAATGTTGACGTAAGTGACGACGCGAATCGAATTTTGTTGCGTCTGTAACTATATTTGTCAAAAAAAAAAACAAAAAAAACAAAAAAAAAAAACAAAAAAAATAGTCGATTTTACTATCGCAATTTGAAAATTCAAATAATAAAATTGACGCTGGGCAAAACAATTGGAACAAAAACAATTAGAATAAAAATTATTTCGAAGTTGTGATATTTTTCCTCGAGCTTGATTTATTTTTCTAAACAAAAAAAAACAACACGCGCGTTGTAGAATTTAAAAAATTTTACAACTCTTCTCTATTGCCGGTTTCGTCTATGCGCTTACGGTACTTCGACAAACTGCATTTCTTGCATACAGCATTTAGCATATGTATGCAGTATTTTTAATGCCTCACGAAGCAAAATATCTCTCTAAGCGCATAAGAATTTATTATGCACTACACTTCCAAGAGTAGAGATTTGAATGAAATCCAGATGGAGGCAGAGAGAGAGAGAGTTAAATGCAACAGTTACGTTTACTGTACTGTACTGTAGCGCTCGGGCTGTTGCAGAACCCTTCGCGATGATATCTAAAGCCACGGCTCTCATCCTCGATCCTGTGTTGCACACAAGCAATTGGATAAAGCCAGGGCTGGGCTTCGATCGAGCGAGTTTCCTCTCCCTCGCCCTCCCACCTCCGCATTGCACGTAAACGACACGCGTGCAACGAGAGGATCGATGTGTGCCGAGACGTGCAAGCGATGCAGTTCTTAAGCATCGGCAATTGAACGATATACTTGTGACACATCGATTCTTTTATAGCCGCTTTTATCGGCACACTCCTATCTAATGATATTGTAAAATCGATGACGTGCCGGTTAAACTGCAAGCGCGCGCGACTGCTCCTTCTTGCATTTCGCGATATTTCATCGACGCCGTCGTGTAAAACACATGTGTGACGAAGTATCACGAAAACAATTTAATCCAACTTTTTGTATTTACGACAAATTATGTGCGCGTTGGATTGTGTACATTTTAGGAACAAGATATAGTTTCGTGTAAAAATTTGGATTTAAATTTTTTTCATCTTAAAAGCTACTTTTGTGATAGCGAAAACTGTGAGCACATTACTTATTTATATAATAATTCTATCACACCTTACTAAGTCTCGTAATTACGTTAATTATGAAAGTTACGTATTATAATGGAGTTTTGAAGTGGCAAACCCAATGATGACATCAATAATTTGATTTATCTGATATGTACGGGACAAATGGAAGGAATTACGTTCCATATAATGGTTGACAAACCACGCAAGCAGTACATACGTATACATCCGGTGCGCTGAACGCCGCATTTGTGTGAATTGGAATATACAGCCGGTCAAATCTACGTTTATGTACATAACTCCGTCGTTGATAAGCGATTATCAATAGTGGCTGCGGCGTAATAATTCCGGTGTTATCTCGTTTTTAGTTTTGTTAGGTCGCTTTCTCTGGGTTATTTTTTTCTGAAATTTTATTAAAAATGGTTTAAACGCGGAATTTTTCCATTAAATTAAATTTTTCCGTTAAATAATGTATCAATGAACATGTTCGGTTACGTAAGTTCATCTCGGTACACGTATGTGTATAGAGTCGAATAAATTAAAACAAATGAGATTTTTAAACTTCATCAATGTTTAATAAACTGCTAATTACTTAATGAGTTTAAATCTGCGAATTTTAACGGTCGAAAGAAAAATTAAATTAAAATGTGATTTTAAGTTTCTGTTTTACGCACATGGTCTAGATACGTGAATAACTTATTAATATTGTAAACTCCATCATGTGTTTGTAGTATAGCATTGCATTTTTGTTTTGGTCAAGAATTTATTTGTTAGAATTTTTAATCATCGCCGTAACGGAAGACACTTGCGTGCACGTCATTTTGTTACGATGGAGTTATCACGGTGATCAGGTTAAGTCCATTCGTGCAACTTTGTTAATGCGATAACGGAAACCGTTGCTCTCATGCAGACTGTAACTACGCGGGCAATCTCGTTCGTGATTGACATTACTGATTAAAATCCAATTGAGAACTATTAATGAGGTTCACAATTGACAAACACCACTACGCAAACACAAAGCAAACAAAAAACTTGAACATAGTTTTTCTCGATGGATAAATAAATATGTGTATAAAATATAGCGTAGAGAGATATATATACAGTCTGTCAAAGAAGAACGTGACCAGTATAATTTATAGAAAATTTATATTTTATTATTATATTTATAACTATACACACATCCATTCTGCTCGATTCTGCTCGGAATAAAAATTTCATTACTTTAATATTAATGTGTTCAGTCGGCACCGTTGTCAATAAAAAATTGCTTGACATCGATGACGACTGAACACATTATTAATATGAAAACATTTTTAGTTTCACACACACACAATCGAGTAGAATAAAAATGCGTGTATTTTATTTATTTTAATTTTATATAATAAATTTTACTAAAAACATGAAATCACATTCTTCTTTGACAGACTGTACAACTTAGGATAAAGAGTCTCACGTATAAAAGTTTGGTTTTAGTTATTTATTGTTCACGCTATTAACACACACACACACACACGCGCGCGCGCGCGCACAAAACTGGTAAAATTCAAAAGTACGTTTAGATATTTCCAGAATGCAAAAGTTACTTCGCCAGTTTCACTATTCTTAAAGAGAATAATAAAAGTATAAGTCTTTTCACGAAGTTTCTGATACACAACGCAAGAAAAGAGACATCAATAACGGCAATAGCGGCTGTAAAGAATTATATGAAAAGTCTTAAGATAGGATAGGAAACGCGAAGCCATTGCCTTATGAAGTAGTCGAAGATAACTTTAATAAATGACATCTCATGAGCTTCTCACAAGCGGGATCTGTTGGCGTTTCATTCCAGGTGGAAGAATCGACCACGCTCACCATTATAACAACGCTTATCGCGCGCTGGATGAGACCCTGGCGCTCGAGGAAGCCGTGCAGGCAGTTATGAAGGAGGTCGATCTCACGGAAACGCTCCTTGTGGTAACGGCAGATCACTCGCACGTATTAACCCTCGGCGGATTGGCAACGCTTCGCGGGAATCCCATATTTGGTGAGCCATCCAATGTGTTTTCGCTCTGAGTACGTTATATCTTCAGATTGGTCGGCGATAAATGGAATATTTCCACTTGTTAGAACGGATGTGCACGAGTAAGTAAGTGGAAATAAAGAGCTAACGAAACGTTCTTTTTCTTTGTCAAACAATAATCGAATTTGTTACCGTGATTTGTGTCAAGTATTACAAGTCTCGAACGCAGTCAAATAAGTAGAGTAATAGCACGCTATAATATCTAAGATTTAAATATAAAAAAAACGAGATGTTTGACTTGTGACAGTGCACACTTTTAATAATTAACACGTTGAATGCCGCGGAGGTCATCGGCGATGCCGATTAAGCATTGCAAACAATTCCTTTCGGCGCCTTGGGCAAGTCATGTAAAATTGGTTCGGCATTCAACGTGCTAATTAATTTTAATAATTTACTTTTAATAATTTAACTAAATTTTATATTAAGCGTGTCACATTAAGTTACGTAGTTGAAACAGTACTAATGAGCAATTTTTAATTGTCTTATAATTAGTCACGAAGTGATTGTTGATTTGAATATATTTCATTGATTAAGAGAATGCTGAACCGTCCCGTTTAACCGACATTTCTTACTTTTCCATTCTCATTTTGCACTCATTGATCGGGATGAAAAACGCTTCTCCAGAATAAAAGAAAATATGTTAAAGAAGTAAAAAATTCAAAAACACTCAAGAAAAACAAAAAAAAGTTTCTTGACTATCACGACATAGTTCACATTTTAATCTCATATACAAAATTGGCAGTGTAAATCTAGAAGAAGGCTGTACTTTTTATTTCTAGAAATATAAACAAAAAAAAATATTTTGAGTGTTTCAAAAAGGGATTTTGCAGTTTGTAAGAGAAGATTTTAGAAAATTAGGGATTAGTGCAATTTTAACAGAAGCGCCAGAGAGACATACACACGTCTATCTTTGTCTCTCTCATGTCATCTATTCATGTTATCTATTGAATTATCGTTTTCAGATATATTTTTGTTATTCACAAATCCGATGTAATAATAATATTATAATATTATTTCATACTTTCACGTTTTTACGATATACGTATAACCGTCAGCAATTATAAGTAACAGGTGGAAATAAATGCACATCGGTAATGTTCCCCGTCTCGCATTTTGTTTCCTTCGATTGACGTAATGTCACGAGTTTTTATATAAAGCTGTCGATCCTTTCCTCTTTCTACACCTGCTTCCCTCGCGCGGATTTTTAATCATACATACGTCGAGGTGCGAATACAGGAGAGGAAGGATGGGCGGAGGTTAACAAACTCCGCGCAATTCCGACGATCGGGAAACGTTCCCGGCTGCCGTAACTTTTCGCCGCGGAGAAAGAAAGAAAGAAAGCATCCTTTCCATTGTGTTGCCCGGATCTGGCCTTCCAATATCCGGGAGGAAGGATGCGCGAGGCAACCGACTTCTGCCAAAAACCCCCCAAAAAAACAAACCTCGCAGGAAACACTATTGGATCACACGCGCGAATTAACCGAATAAAAAACGCCGAAGGTTGTCTTATATAACCGGCACAATTGTAGTTTATACACGACGCTTTCTTTTGTCAGCGAGTTACCGAGTTAATACAAACGCTTTCCAATTTAATTTGTCCGCGGAACGTCTGGAAATTTGATAAAAAGTTGTACGGAGCCGTTAATTGCGCGCTTTCCCGGGGGAGAATTGAAAAAGTGGGTCAGAGAAATAGAACAAGAATGACGGCAAACAAATAAGTTGGTCCGATTTAATATAATTGCACGTAATATTCAAAGACCACGTCACGGTTTATTTGATACAGAATGCGATACTCGTAAAATAATGGCATGCGCATAATAGCATCAGGATTTTTCAATGTAGAGATACAAAAGTGTGTATCTTCGCTTCGAGATAGAAGTTGGGAGAGGTTTATGGAACCCAGAGGAGCATTTCCAGAAACACATTGGGCTATTAAAAAAACATCGTGCACTTTAGATTTTCTGTGCGAACTGCTTTGATAGTCAAGTTGAAACATTTCTGCATTCGCGTTCTGTGCTACGTATACGCCGCGCTGTACGTAGTATTGTCGCAGCTTTTGAAAACTGATGCAAAACTAGATAGTTGGCAAATATCTCGTTTTAACGCAGTTTACGTCAAAAGCTTCGGTGAAACTTATGCTCGGATCAAATTTAAATTAGTCCTATTGTTATCGATTCTGTTTAACATAGAATCGGTGTAAAGTAATTGTTTCTGTGTAAAAAGTAAATAGTAACCTCTCTTTTACCTTAATCTATATTTTATTTCATAAGAAATAAATATAAATTAGTAGCAAAATGAATTATATATGGTTTTATTTTTTATCTATGTATTTATAATTTTTTTTTTATTAATGAGTTAATTTTAATCAATTTTAAAATATAGTTTTTTAAAAATAAACATCAAAATATAAATATACTTTTGTACCTCTGGTAACTAACAACATTTTCGCTCTATTGACACGATATGTTTGCAAACCTTCTGATATAGCTTTAGACAAACATGCTCTTTTCCGACGAGCGAGAGCACCGACGTGCGAATCGCGTTTTCGCAGAGTGAGACGCCTCATTCTTTCTCTCCTTTCGATCTCTCGTTTCCTTCTTTCCGAACTGCTATCGTCTCGAAGAGAACGCACGCGCGGCGAACGACACGGAAATGTTCGAATTGTCGGCAATCAAAAATGGTCCGTTGGTCCCATCACGTTTCGAATCTTTTGCAAGCTAGTTTGACGCGGCCGTTGTCTCACGTTCCGTCAAGGGGACGCCAGCAGGTGTTGACTTGAGAAATTCGCAATGGTTTCCTCCCCTTCCTTTCTCTCTGTCGCAATCCAATACCGAGTAAGCGATGTGAGAGCGAGCGCTGTTTTATATGGGAACGCAAGTTCGTCTCCATCAAGTGGAGGTGGGAGACCGTCCTCTCTTCCGGCAGGACAGTTCTGGATTCAATAAGATCCAATCTACTTGGACAACTTCGTGGGCGCCCGTCGATCGTTCGCCCGGTCGCGGTTAAATTGAATCGCCGGAAAACGTAAAGGATGGCTTTTCGGCCGACCGTATGTGCAACGTGGAGACGCGGAGGTTCGCTCGTTCGCTTGTCCGATAGCAACCAGTTAAAAAAATAACCCGCGCAAGGGAAATAGAGAGAGAGAGAGAGAGAGAGAGAAAGTTTTGCCAAGCTCGATTTTCCGAATTCGTCGCGAATTTTATTACCCGTTTCGTATCTCGTTTCCGTGGGATTGTCGGTCATCTTGTTGCACCATCGAGAAGTTAATCCGATCGCGTTCATAGCCGGACTATGACGGATCGCACGAATTTGCGAGTTTTATCAGATGACCGTATTGTTTTATGATGTGTTGCTCGAAAGTTGATACAAGTTTTTGTTTACTTTTTGTACTTTTGGAAAGACGACATTTTGTTCAATATGATCATAACGACACTCACAATTAATTTTCAACTTTCATTGGCACGTATTTACATATTTTTGTAAAATTTCGATATGGATAGGTATTAAAATTCCTTTAAATTTAATCCTTTTAATTGTGAATAAATTTTTTTTTTTTATGTAAAATATAACAAATATATTGTTTTGCTGTTTAATTTTATTTCGGAAAAGTTTTGTGTTCACTGGTTAATCTCCACAACGTTATATCAAACACTATATGCAAATATACAGCAAATTAAAAGCTATACGGTTTTTAACCGCAAACATCGCTTGTTTTTATTTTAGACACCCATTGCAAAAATGAACTTGAAATGAACTATACAGATATATTGGCTATACGAGTGAAATAATTTTTAAGTCAATACCGGATGACACAACGCAAAGCTTATACGTTTCGTAAATTTTCCAATCGTTCCGCAATGAATTTACTCGATTTACTCGAGCGGAATATATCCAATAATGCAATCCCTCATCATGATTATAATCAATAACATTCCACATGATTTAATAGAAATTTATATATATGCTTGATAGGGGACATAATCCGAACGAGATAACTTTGCTAATTAAACAGTTTGCTCGCAGCGTGAACTGCGGGGAATTAAATCTGACAATGTTATTTTGCGCGTCATTGATTAAAATAAAAATTATATAATTGAACTCTGGCTTCTCTTTCACTTGAAAAAATTTTTAACGCTTTTTTTTTGCATTATACTTTGTATTGTACTTTAAATAATGTAAACAATTACATGTTTTAATTAATGTACACAGATTGAAAATAATTTTATTTAGGTCAGTATTTTTTTTAGTTATAAGTTTATTGTATACATTGTTATATATATATATATACAGTCACTATTTTAATAATGTAAGAGCGTACTTCGTTAATATTAATTAATTTTAGAAATCCGTCTGCAGAAATTATTATTTCTAAAAAACATATTAAATGTATTTTATTTTATACAGATTGTACTATAAATGCATCTCACACAGGTCATTTTTATGTACATAAAAAACCAAACGTTTGAATGATCGCGATGATATTGTTCCATTACGCGAAAAGTAATTTTCATATAGATCATTGTTCGCGCGATAGATTTCGTGGAAAATTTCGCGCTATTCTGCTCTTTTTCCCCCTCTTTCTCTCTCTCTCTCTCTCTCTCTCTCTCTCTCTCTCTCTCTTTCTTTCTTTTTTTCTGGTCATATTGATTGCCATCAATAAATAGCGGTAGTCGAGCCGACGAATCTCGCAATTTGCACGCTGCGCCGAAAACGCGGTGTCGGCCGCTTTTAATTTTTGGTTCGTCAAATTTCGTTTGCATTTGTAATTGGAAAAAAAATCCGGTAACGCAACGTATCGATGTCACCCAATTTCGCGGCGTATCGATATCGGGGGTTTTTCAATCAGATTCGACATTGCGCGATTCCACTTTGAGATTGAAACCGCTGGTAATTTTGTATTCGGGAATGAAATAGAGCATTTAAAAATTTCGTCACCTCGCATTTCCACTTTGCGACATAAGAAA